ACATGAATCATCCACTCCCAGCTTCTTCGCGAAACTGGGTTTATCATTGCATTCGGTTACATGATCGGGTTATCCTTAAGAATATTACATATAAAAATTCTCCTGGAACTTCCCGTTAAGAGTGGGAAACAGTTTAGACTCATATACCTATTGGAGTAATTGAGAAGCAGTTTATACTCGTATACTATTGGAGGATTGAGAAGCAGTTTATACTCGTATACTCTTCGGAGTGTTCATTCGACTTAATTGAGCGATATAACGCCGGCTTCAACCAAGGTTTGAATGCTATTCTTGAGAGCGAAGCAATCCTTGGTGGGATGGAGGATCCTCCTGTGGTACGCACAATACTTTGGATCCAAAATGTTATCAGCTTCCTCCTGATTTGTGATGGGTGGAAGCTTAATCTTGTTGTTTTCAAGGAGAGATTCGAAGATGGCTGGAACGTCCTCGTCCTTGAAGGAATACTCTTTTTGGAGTCTCGGGTCCGAAGTCTTTTGCTGCCTTCGGGATTTTCTGTTGTGACGTTTGATTAGTACCAACAGCAGCTGTAGGTGCCTTGCCCTTACCACGAGAGGCAAAGTTCGAGTTCGGAGGATTGGCCGTCGGTTGGCTCCTCTCGGCCTTCTTCCTTCGGAGGAAGCGTTCGGCTTGTTCACCGTGCACCTTCAAGTCTTTTCAAGTGTTAGACGGTGCGACTCCCATAACTTCCAATATCTCAATAGATAGGTTGTTATGACATGTCTGAAGGATGAAGTCCTCCGTGATCGGATCTCGGCAGTTCATTGCTTTATTCCGGAAGCGTTTGACGAAGTCGTCGACTGTCTCATCTTCTTGCTTCTCATCGAAAAGTGTCCTGATGGATACCTCATCGTCGTCATCAAAGAAACTGCCGAGGAATGAGCTCTCCATATCATCCCAGTTGTTAATACTTCCGGGTTTGAGACGGCGGTACCAATCAAAGGCGGGCCCGCGAAGGGTGCCAACGAATGACCGAACCATCAAGGCTTCATTGCCGGAGATCATGCCCAAATGGGACTTGAAGTAGATCAGATGCTGAGTGGGTGAACCCTTCCCGTTAAACGGCGTGAAGTTAATCAGGTTGAACTTCGCTGGGTATGCTATTAAATCCCACTCTCTTGGATAGGGACATGGAATGCCGGTCCTTTTCACCTCTTGAGCAGACATTAGAGCGTTGATTTTGCTCTCGAGATCTTTTATTTTCTCATCCTCACTCGTATCGGGGCTTGGACGATTTGTGATAAGAACAGCGGGGCCACCCCCGGCATTGTCATCTTCGGTGGAACCACCCCCAGCGTTTTGGTCAACGAGAGGGTTATCAGCATTAAGGCGTTCATCCACATCTGAATCGCTACCTACTTGGTTAGCAGCGTTGCGACGGTTGGATTCGCCCATTTGATTGGAAAGAGCCCGAATCTGTCGGTCGTGCTCTTCCCTCATCCGTAGCATAGCCATTTCCATTTCGATCTTGAATGCCTCTTTCTGTTTGGCCAAGGCATCCTCAACCATTTTGGCTACCTGCTCGGTGTTGATCATGAACACTTCGTGAGATTGTCCCGGGCTAGATACCGTATTGTCAGAAGCGACTGCAGAGTTAGCATCCGATACTTCATCATCCGAGGATACCCCTCTCTGCATTCTTTGGTAGTCCCTGCGTCTAGTGGTCCCTGATCGCAACCGGGTTAGACGATGCGATACAAGTGGGTCAGAGCTAGAAGGTCGAATTGATTTTCCCTTATCAACCATATTGATGGTAACCTCTGGGGGTTCGTCACCTTGAATGACCGATCGTTTCTTACGGAGGCGCTTTAGATTAGACTTATCCTTTCCGTTGGAGACCCTCTCAAATACCGAGACCCTCTGCGGAGCGGTCTTGGGGCAGCTGCACGCTGATAATACTGCCCTGATAAGTTCGACGCACGGGCAGTGAGATTTTGTTTCTCGGGTATATCTCTTCCGAGACTTGTTCATATCCCCAGCCCGATAGTACAACTCATCGGTCAGATGACCGGAGCAACCTATTGTTCGTTGACACAACTCCCCAAGTATAACGTTGTCATCGTCAGATGAATACGTTTCTTTCAGGGGATTTGCCGTTTTATCAGCGTTCTCAAGAGTCACATGTTTAGAACTACACTTTTGGGAGCGCAAGATCTCAACAGGCTCCTGGTTTTGAATAAACACCCCCAGGCGGGTAGAAATTGGAGTTTTCCCTTCATGAGAAGGCTTGAAATTGTTACGAGGGCGTGTGCGACCCCCAGCTCGACGAATCGCTCGGGGTTCAGTCATCGGACCCAAGCATTCTTCGATCAGAACTTTGCCTCGATCCTCGTGCAAAGGACCCAGGCGATTGACTATCCTCAACTTGAAATGAGACAAGTCCACACAGTCCCGGTGCTCCATCGGAGGTGCGGAACTCACAGGGATCAACGAAACAGGTGCAGAACATCTTCTGCCTTGACTCTGGCGCGGGTCAGATTTAAGTGACCGACGGGTTGGAGGGTCGGATTCAAGTGACCCGCAAAGTGGAGGGTCAGATTTGGGTGACCCGCAAAGTGGAGGGTCGGACCCAAGTGACCCGAGATTTGGAGGGTTGGATTTGGGCGACCTGCAGATTGGCGGGTCGGACCTAAGTGACCCGCGATTTGGAGGGTCGGATTTGGACGACCTGCAGATTGGCGGGTCGGATTTGAGTGACCTGCAGATTGGAGGGTCGGATTTGGGCGACCTGCAGATTGGCGGGTCGGATTTTGGTGACCTGCAGATTGGCGGGTCGGATTTTGGTGACCTGCAGATTGACGGGTCGGATTTGAGTGACCCGCGGACCGGCGGGTCGGATTTGAGTGACCCGCATTTTTCGATCTTTTCGGCCGCCGTCTTGTACTTTGGCCTCCAAACTTTGTGCAGTTTTGGTGGCTTCTTTTATAAAAATCTGATCCCTTCACTTTGTGGAGTTTGTTAGGATTTATAGAGAGATTAGGGATGTAACTGCTCTCTTAATCCGCTCCTAAATAGGGGTTTAGTCGCCCCATTAATTGGGTGTAACAATCCACTCGAACCACTCCCCAGATCATGGGTGAAAAACGGTTTTGGAAACTGTTTGGATCACGTTTGAACGAGTCAAAGCCATGATTTACGTTCTGGGCATGAACCTGCATTCAAAGGCATGCTTTTAGATGATGCGTCAGCGTCTGAGTTTGAGCTACGTCCGCGGTTGAATCGGTACCGTGTTTGTGCTGCGTTTAGTGGCTGAAAACACTGCGTTTATGCTGTGTTTGAGTTGCGTTGGTAGCTGAAGATGTGGTGATTGCGTTGCTTTGACTCTGTAACGTTGTTTGCGTCGAAAATTAATGTATTCATTGTGGTATTCATTACAACTTCGGTCGTTACAATGAAAACAAAAAGATTGTCTTTTTATAAGACGTTTACACAATGAAAACAAAAAAGTTACAACTCTCGTCAAAACAAACGCAGAGATCGTTTATCGGTCTTCTGCTTGCGTGGGATCTTTGCCTGTGCCGGGGTTTATCCGTGGACCGCCTTAGATCTGGATCCGGTTGATGAAAAATTCGGCAGAGCTTCGCCTTCGCCGAGGAAATATTTGATTTGAAGCGCTGAAATCGACCAAGCGTAATCAGGGCTCTTCTAGAGATTAAGACCAAGCCTAATCTCAAGGGACTGACGGGAACGGGCGTCGGATCTCTCGAACTCTCCTTCTTTATGCCAAAGAACTCGCCAAGATCTGTCAACCCTCGCTGAAATTCGTGCTCCTTTGACTCCACAATCCGGCAGCACCTCCTCGTCTCTCCGCCCCTCAGAAATGAGCACCCGAGTTCGTATTTATAAGCTTCAGAAGCGGTTATTTGGATGAGAACAAGTGATTTGGCTCTATCTTCAGTTAATAACTGATTACCATGCTAGGGGATGATATTAAGTCAGTTTGGATGCTCAGGAACGACCAAATCCCGAGAAAAACCGTCAAAAACCGAACTGGGGTCGAAACAGTGCGGGTCATTCTGACCCGCGTTACTGTAGCGCGGGTCGGAAAATTCCGACCCGCTGTTACTGTAGCGCGGGTCAGTTTGAGATATCTGCGGTATTTTGGTCATAACTCTTTCGTACGATCTCCGATTAGGCTGATTCGAGATGCGTTGGAAAGCTAACGAAGAGATCTACAACTTTTATGTTTTGAGAATTTTCAGATTCAAATCGCAGCATAGTCAAAATTCACTTCTTTATGCGGTCAAATCACTGTAGCAGATTCCGACCCGCGGTTACTGTAGCAAATTCCGACCCGCTACTGTAGCAGAATTCCGACCCGCTACTGTAGCAGAATTCCGACCCGTGGGTACTGTAGCAAAATTCTGACCCACGGGTACTGTAACAGCCTTAACTCACTCATCTGACCTCGGAATGAGGCGATTCAAGATGCGTTGGAAAGCCGACGAGGAGATCTACAGGCTCCCATAATTGAATCATATGTGGAATAAATAGGACACGAGGGGTGCTCTGTCGTTTGTAAATGACGTGGGGCTCCCGATCAACTCTCATTTCCGTTATTCCGAAGTTTCGTTGCTTCGTATGACCCGTCGACTCACTTCATGTGTTTGTCATTGTCAAACGAGCTCCTGCGACTCTAATAGCGATGTTTATCATCTTCTCTCTGTCTCGAGTCGTGTACGGACGATGTTTATCATCTTCTCTCTGTCTCGAGTCGTGTACGGACACCCATAGGTATTTTTTAGACGCCTACAATATCCTCCCTCGACGAAAAATCTCCAAGTATCTCAACGGCTTCAGAAAAACTCACTCTCTTCTTCTTGTTATTCACCTCTCTCTTGTGGACAAGAGTCTGAGAAGAGTCATCTACACCATTAACAAATCGCACATCTAAATAGCAAATATGGTTGCTATTCTTTCTCCCTCGTAAAATCAAATCACCATTTTTATACACTTTGCATCACTCTCCTTTACCCACATACTTGTATCCACGCGATGTCATCTCACCCAACGAAATTAAATTAGCACCACACGATGACACATATCTCACATGATGAAGAATTCTGACCTTCCCAGTGCGAAGTTTGAGGCGAACACTTCCAACACCTTCAACCTTCATCTTCTCGTTATTTCCAACAATCACGTCATCAAATTCTTCATCTGTCTTTAATGTGTTAAAATAATTTTTGTTGTTACAAACGTTCATAGAGGCTATAGAATCTAACACCTAAGTGTTACTCACATCAGTACATGTACTCTGCATCAACAATACCATATCTTCATCACACACAACCATCAAGGAGTACACATTCTTCCTATTTTCTTGAAGCTCCATCTGTCTAATACTCTTCAAATCATCACATATCTGGGAACATCTGAATTGAATATGACCCTTCTCTCCGCAATAATAGCACTCATTTTCGCTGTCGTCTCGGGCTCGAGATTTTGACCTTCCTCGATAACTGTCACATCTCCTCTTACTCCTCTTCCTCGATTAGAAACTTCAAAAGCTAGTGTACTCTCACCACCATTAGATGTGTTTTCCTTTCCCACTATTCTTTCACTCTCACGTAGGAGTGTTGTCACATCGTCAAACTTTAAAGTTTGCTTCCCTGCAATTATCATCTGAACTAACGGCTTGTACGACTTTGACAAGAAAGATAATAGTAGTAGCGCCTGCTCTTATTCCTTAATCTCCATATTAATATTCATAAGTTGGCAAACTAGCTGATTAAAGACATTGATGTGGTCTTGAATTGCAGTACATTCTTCCCATCTTCAACGAATAAAATTTCATCCTCAAACACAATCGGTTGGTCATCGACTTTGACGCATAAATCCTCTCGAGCCTTTTCCACAGCCCTCTTAGTCTGGTCTCTTGCATAACATTATATTTGATCTCGGGACGAGTGCCAAACGAATTGTGCTAACCGCCCTCTTTTGAATGGAACTTCATTCAGCATCCTGCAATCATTGTAGTTTCTTATCCTCTAAAGCTTGATCACAAGAATATCTTGAACCGTGCATTGTCATATTAAAAAATTTGTCTTACCGTTAAATAGTGGAATATCGAACTTCGGACCCAAAGAAGTCATCATCCTCTAACCACAATCAAAATTCAAATTAGATACTGTAGAGATTGAATTTGATAAAGCTGACATCAAAAACAACCTCAGCACTTCGAAAAACCCTAGAAACGACTTCTGGATCACCAAAATCCGCCTCCAAATCCTTGATCAAAATACAAATCAATCTCAATCGTCGGATCTGCGTGAACAGTATCCCGCTCGACCGTTGACACCTTCACCGATCGCACACTGGTCAAACCTCCACTAATCGTTGAACCCCGTTCTGATACCACTTGTTAGGATTTTTACATCTCGCAAAAATCCTAAAAAACCACCAAACGCAGCAAATAGAATCACACGAGATTTAACGTGGAAAACCCTCAACATGAAAAATACATGAGATTAAAATCAATCCACTATCACCTTTAAATTATAATTTTTTGCACAGATAAAAACTGCCAAATCCTCTCTCTCTCTCTCTCTCTCTCTCTCTCTCTCTCTCTCCTCTTCTTGGTTTTTCCTCCAACAATAGAAGAATATATATAAGTAAAACTAAAACATTATCTCTAGCCTAACTTTCTAATTAGATGTAAAACCCTAAAAATTTGGAAAACAATATTAAATAATAATAAATGAGTTTTATTATAATTGATGATTATTCGGGGATGAATGGATCAGATTGGAATCGATTTGAGATCGATTCATAATTTCAGTCTTGATATCACCAGTCTACTAAAAAACTATTACTATTTTATTTAGTAATTTTTCTATTAATCAGATAGGCATGAGATTTATGTGATTGATCTTAGAATGTTGATATGGTGATGTGGTTAAAGTTTTGTTGCGTTCTGACAACAGATACTGAAACACTATTTTTGAAACAGTATTGTGAGTCTACTGATATTTGTCGCATTTGTATTTTTAATAACTTTTGATTCATTAAATGGATGTGAGGTTTACACAAGTGATCTTAGAATGTCGATATGATGTTGTGGGTAAATTTTTGTTGCTTTCTGTAAACAGAGATTGAAACCTAATTTTTTTAATATAAAATAATATATATACCACCAACCACCGCCTAACATCACCAACCATTTTAATAATTTTTTTTTAAATTGAGAGGCTATATAAAGAGGGTAGGAGAGAGCAGGAGGAGGCAGATGTAGAGAAAGAGAGAAAAAGAAGGGGGGAGAGAGAGAGAGAGAGAGAGAGAGGGAGGGAGGGGGGGGGGGGGGGGGGGGGAGAGAGAGGAAAAAAAGAGAGGAAAAGAGGGAGATGATTTTGGCTTTTTGGAGATCAGGAACAGATAATGATTCTAATTTCAGAGATCATTAAAGGCAAGTTTATCTATTTCCAAACCCATCCCCAGTTAGTTTTGATATTGATAAAAAGATTGATAAATAGAATTTTAGATCAAATCCTAAAAATAAAGAAAAAACATGATATTGATGAAAAATGATGAATAGAATATTAGATCAAATCTTTAAAGATATGATCTTGCTAGCTAGAACTATACATATCTATCCATCGTCGAAAGCACTATTATTATTCATACATATAGGTACTATTCATAAGTACTGTTACTATTTATAAAAATGGTTACTATTCATACACACGGATATTATTACTATTACTATTCATACACACTGGTACTATTTCAAAAGTACTGTTACTATTCAAAAGTACTGTTACTATTCAAAAGTATTGTTACTATTCATACGTACAGGACTATTCATACGTAAGGGTACTATTCATAAGTACTTGTAATATTCATGTGTACGTGTACTATTCACAAGTACTATCGCTATTTATAAGTACGGTACTATTCACAAATACGATACTTGTGTTCTTCTTTTATTTGAGGTGTTTTCTCTTACACGTTAAATCGTGAGCACGGGGTTCAAGCTGTACGATGATACATGTACAGTCATGAGTACACACGTATAGTGTCGTAGCACACACATAGATATCACGATGGGAATTTGACAAGTATTGATCTATTTACACCTGAGATAGAGGTTGATTACGCAGTTATATACATGTTGGATATCGTTGATGAGCACCGCTCAGTATTACGTGGAGTAGTACGTCGATATATCATTAGTACAGGCCATTGAGTCGGATTTTGGATGTTTTATCTAGCAGTCTGTCCCGTACTAGGATGCGATGAGGCTTGTGAGTCATATTTCTAGGGTACTTATTTGGTAGTCTGTCCCGCACTCGTGTTACGTACAGAGATACGATGAGACTAATGAGTCGAGTACATAGTTAGGATACCGACTTAGTAGTCTGTCTCGCATGATAATGTGATAAATCATAACTTGCAAGGATTTGCCTTGTGACGATTACTCAATAGCCTAAGTCTTTGGTAGATGCTATTTATGAACATGACTCATCGCTGAGTTATATATGACCGATGTACTTTACTCTTGTGGGTACGCGGAATTATATATTATTGTTTATATTATCTTCTAAGGGATAGTGAAAGATATTTTTGATGTAGAGAAAAAGAAAAAAAGAAGGGGGGAGAGAGAGAGAGAGAGAGAGAGAGGGAGGGAGGGAGGGAGGGAGGGGAGGGGACAGAGAGGAAAAAAAGAGAGGAAAAGAGGGAGATGATTTTGGCTTTTTGGAGATCAGGAACAGATAATGATTCTAATTTCAGAGATCATTAAAGGCAAGTTTATCTATTTCCAAACCCATCCCCAGTTAGTTTTGATATTGATAAAAAGATTGATAAATAGAATTTTAGATCAAATCCTAAAAATAAAGAAAAAACATGATATTGATGAAAAATGATGAATAGAATATTAGATCAAATCTTTAAAGATATGATCTTGCTAGCTAGAACTATACATATCTATCCATCGTCGAAAGCACTATTATTATTCATACATATAGGTACTATTCATAAGTACTGTTACTATTTATAAAAATGGTTACTATTCATACACACGGATATTATTACTATTACTATTCATACACACTGGTACTATTTCAAAAGTACTGTTACTATTCAAAAGTACTGTTACTATTCAAAAGTATTGTTACTATTCATACGTACAGGACTATTCATACGTAAGGGTACTATTCATAAGTACTTGTAATATTCATGTGTACGTGTACTATTCACAAGTACTATCGCTATTTATAAGTACGGTACTATTCACAAATACGATACTTGTGTTCTTCTTTTATTTGAGGTGTTTTCTCTTACACGTTAAATCGTGAGCACGGGGTTCAAGCTGTACGATGATACATGTACAGTCATGAGTACACACGTATAGTGTCGTAGCACACACATAGATATCACGATGGGAATTTGACAAGTATTGATCTATTTACACCTGAGATAGAGGTTGATTACGCAGTTATATACATGTTGGATATCGTTGATGAGCACCGCTCAGTATTACGTGGAGTAGTACGTCGATATATCATTAGTACAGGCCATTGAGTCGGATTTTGGATGTTTTATCTAGCAGTCTGTCCCGTACTAGGATGCGATGAGGCTTGTGAGTCATATTTCTAGGGTACTTATTTGGTAGTCTGTCCCGCACTCGTGTTACGTACAGAGATACGATGAGACTAATGAGTCGAGTACATAGTTAGGATACCGACTTAGTAGTCTGTCTCGCATGATAATGTGATAAATCATAACTTGCAAGGATTTGCCTTGTGACGATTACTCAATAGCCTAAGTCTTTGGTAGATGCTATTTATGAACATGACTCATCGCTGAGTTATATATGACCGATGTACTTTACTCTTGTGGGTACGCGGAATTATATATTATTGTTTATATTATCTTCTAAGGGATAGTGAAAGATATTTTTGGTTTGATATTATGATGAATTTACTTTCTTGTGTTGCTTTCCTTTATTCCTAGTTTGGAATTGATAATTAGTGATTCACAATTTGAGACATATGATATATACATGAGGGTTTTCTTATTTGGATTATTTCGCTCGACGTACCGGTTTCGTGTTGTGAGTTTCTAATTATTAATTTTATTTAGATTGTTTATTCTTAGTTCGGTATCGATATTTAGTTATCTATAATTTGAGACATATGATATATACATGAGGGTTTTCTTGTTTGGATTATTTCGCTCGACATACGACGTCTTGTGTGTAGGTTTCTAAATATTAACTACATTTAGATATAGGGTAAATAATCTAGGTAGACTATGCTTAATAGATAGAGCCTCCATCACATCTAGTAGCCAATCCCTTAGGGGCGGATGGAGATGATCTTGCTGTAGCGCGCT